ACACACAGACTGTGAGTCCGCAGTTACAAACGAATTGCTAAATACAATGGGTTGTGACGGAGATCGGTTGAGTAGGCTTCACTGGAGGCATAGGCAACTTCATGGTCTCCCAAATGGGGCAGAATTTGGATGCACTGAATGTCCGACGAACCGTTGTATGCAAACGTCTTTCAAGTTGGGCGGCCACGATATCCCCTTTGAAAGGTAATTGAAGGTAGACAGACAGTTTGGGCACAGTAAGTACCCTCGACCTGTTTTCCTTCGGTTGACTGTGGAATCGAATAAACGCCTCTGGATATCCGTTGGCCCGTAGCGTCTGTATGATAAACAGCAATTCCGATTCCAAACAAGGCATTCGGATAAATAAATGATCAGCCAACAGTTAGACGAGAGTTGACTGTGAAAGGACATCCAAAGCGTTGTTGGGCTTTCATGTTATCGACAGCAATGGTAATATCCTGTAAAACAAGATAGGGGTGAGGGGATTCATTTTCAACACCTTTAGTCCATGAGTGCGCATGCCGAGACGAGGAAATCACAGTGTCTTGTAAAATAAGCCCCTAGCACTGATGAAAATTCTGTTAGTAGTTACACACTGGGACAGTCACAGGGATTCACTCGAGCAGAGTGCATCAGGCATTTCTACTCCGTGCAATGTCGGAAGCAGCAGGGGACCGGTGAAGTAAGATCATGGTCGCTGGGATCTGAGTTAAACAAGCGAATACTAGGCAGGATGTTTCAGTCTTGTACGAAGGATATGGAGACGTAGCACACATCTCTCCTGCCAGTTGAATGATTTGACGAAGCACGAACGGTGTAACACCCGATGTCAAATGAGACTCGTGGTTCCAAAGATGATTAAGGTGCACAAATAGTACAGGCTACACATCACTGGGTGGCCAGTTGCTGGCTATCCAAGGAAAAAAGTATAAAAAGAAGAGGAAAATTGACAGACAAGAAAATAAGCAACGGATTTCTGTGGGGAGACGTGACGTTCCTATTACCAACTGACAAAGAAGTTTTGTTCATTCACGAATTTTGGCTCAATAAGCTGACCAGGAGGACAGGGTGGATTAGGTATATTTGAGGAGCGCAAATGCAAAGGGATGAGAATATAGGCTTGGGAGCAGTCATACAAGGTTTTATTAGATTTAGGATAGTAGTACAGAATACCCTGGCGACCACGGCCAGCGACAGCAGTTTGCGATCTCTAAAGGGGTTTCATCATAGTTTATGGCTCCTAAACTGTTGTCACCAGTGGCGGAGTTCTACTGAAGGATGAGCGTCGGTCTCGCCCCCACACATTCAAGTACGATGTTGAGGCCAAGTCTATTGTTAATACCTAACTCCTCGCTTGCTGGGATAAGCCTTGAAGGAACTGTAGAGGGGCCGCTCAGTGTGGGGACTATAAGGTATCGATCCATCTCAAAGTCCAGATTCATCGGAATAATGTGAAACAGTTGTGCGTCAAGTGCCAGTTATTAGTACTCAAACATGTGTAACATTCGAAACAATGCAGTGCACTTAAAAGTAGAGGAGACTGTGGTTACTCTGATGAACTGTCAATTGCTTAGTGGTTCCATAACGTAGTCTGTTTCGATACTATGGAAAAACTCACCATAGTCATATCGGACACTAGCGCCCAGCTGATACATAGTAGTAGGTCGACTAGGAAGACCAGTATCTGTAATAAAGATAGAAAGCATTACTGATTAGAGTGGTTCCAGTAGGTCAACGAAAGTCACTAGATGATAGCAGATGGTGCAATATGGAATTGTAAATAAAAGTGTTTCGTTCGCGAATACCAAGCATTAAAGTTGCAGAATTCCAGGCAGCGGGAGTAATCTCTTGATGATTCCTCGTTGAGAAGATGCACCGGAAATACGACACACATCATGCCAAACAGAACAGATAAAAGTGGAGTTCTTAGGATAAATGCGGCGAAAAGCTCACTAATAATACAACGCAAGGCATAGGTGGAAGTAAACTGCGTCACTCACAATACACAAGAAGAAGTTGATAGACGGGGCCAAGAGAGCGAAGAACAGTAAGGGAGCGCACACATACTGAGAGGCCATGCAAATTAAAGCGTCGGCGGTTGCGAAGTGTTGACGTAATACCCGACCCAAATAGGCACCAGATAAGACCCCAATGATTCCGGAGAAGCATAGACAGGTGCCAAATATCAAAGGAATGCTGAAATGAGACAAAAAAGAAACTATTAGTACAACCATTCAGGTTATTAGAAAACGTCTTCTTCAACACAAAATAAAGTAGAAGAGCTTGCGATAGCGGAAAGAATGCGGATAGTAGAAAACACAAAACTTGTGCACTAGCTAGCCACGGTGATCTCAGATATCACATTTAGAATGCAGAGAAACATATAGCCAGGAAATGAAGATTGAATCGTGGACGAATATTGGGCCTTAACGAGTTAACTGTCAAATTATTTCCAAAAAATTCATCACATTGTTACACATTTAATGTTAGCTTGAGAAGGAAAACATGCGTGCAGAATCACGTGCAATATTTAGCATTCGCCGCACTGATATAACCATGACGAGTCAGGACCAACATTTATTTTTTAAGCAGATAGCAAGTGGCGTTAATTGACGGTTTAAAGTACGTGATCTCCAAATAGGGATTGGGACAGTCAATGGGCTAGAGCACTAGACGAGGGACAAGCAGAAAAAAACGTGAGAAACAAAAAGGTAGAATAATGGAATCAAACAGTAATTGCCATACTCACACGCAAAGGATATGAGCATACAGCTTCAAAAAGGAAAGTATCGTGTTGTCAGTGCACTTCATAGCTGTGCCTAGAAATGCTTGGTACATAATAAACCAACGGATATATACGCACAATCACCATAGGATGAAGGAAATGTCCAATAAATAAGGAGAGTAAAATTCAGTACTTTGATTTTTATTTCTCTAACATCTGCCGTAATAGGTCAGTGGAGGAAGGGATCCAAAGTCCAACTGATGGGGTCTCTCCTAGGACTGCTTCTTGCTTGAAGGTGGAAGCTATCCGACCCGTTAACACACCGCTGGACTTCCAGTGATGGTTTGTGGATAGCATATCTTTGATCCCGGATGCAAACACTGACACTGGTTTTCTGATAAATCAGTTCAACAATACAAATACACCATCCTATTTAACCGGGAGAAAACGAAAACAAGCCATTTCTCCTTGATGTAACATCATAATGACTAAAAAACGGTCCACTTAAGATAAATATCCTTCAAAAAGTCACTTGTGTGAATAAAAACGCATTCACCAGCATTATCATTCCACACGTTAGCTTGAGATGAGAAATACCTAAGGTACTGTGCCGTAGCTTTAGCTGGTTGAGGCAGAAACGGGACCAAGACTGTCTAGTGCAATACAACGCTAACAACATCAATAGCCCGGAGACACTACATGATGGGATCGTGCCAATAAATTTTACAACCAAGGGGCTGCTAGAGGAGCCTAATCAGTCAGCCAAGTAAAGGCACATTAAGTGACGCACGCAATCGTCTAACACAAGCAGTCGTTTACTTGTGGATGAACGCCCAAATCATGTGCATATGCTTGTTGGATTAAGGAAAATCACGCTCCCTGCGGCCGATGTGTGCTTGCTGTCCGCTGTCTGATGTCAAGTCTCAAGTGAGCAGCCAGTGACGCGTACTCTTTAGCGTGACCTAACACCAGTATCACGTGCCTTCTGACAGCGTCCTATGGGGCGAACAGTCGTAGCAGATACTAGGTAAGAAGCATTGTGACGATCCTCTATGTCCCTCATCTCATTCCTATATGAGCTATCGATCTCAACCCTGACATGGCCCCAGTCCAAGTTTTGTGAACCCTCAGTGCGCTGATCTCTTCTCACCTCCCGTAATGTCCTGACCATACCTTTAAGTTGTCTTCTGTTATCCGCGAGTCCATAGTTTACCTCACCCCACCATGTGCCTTTATAGCACGTTTCGCGATGATAACCATTATTTGTTCACTCCTTCTTCTGCAACGATTATGGGTAATTGTTAACTCTTTTTGGACTACAAAGTCAACCGAGGCCACAAATGAGGTTGTGTCGCAATCCAAAACACACTGGGGGGGGGGTTCCAAAATCGAAAAGCAATGTCTACTCCTTCTCGTACCGTATAGTAGCGCACCTGTGGCCCAAGCAGACTTACTTCACCCCCATTTCAATGCTTATCTAGCGCTGTTCGTGTGGTTAATCAATCCCATCGTTGCACCCGTCGAGTAAACATGCCGTGCACTGCGGTGCCATCACTTCGCATCTCTGTCGATCTGAAGCCTAGCTTGCCGACTCTTGAATCCAACTGCTTGCTGTTGCTGTCCTGCTCTCAGCAGTTCGTCTTCGCAACTCACCGAGCGGAGTACGCATATTGCCTGATCTACCTTGGAAAGATCGCCCAAAAGAAGCAGTTGACCAACGCAGCATTGCTAATAGAGATAGCAAGAGAACAATATTTGTTCATGGAGTTCCTGAGCTTCTGCATTCTTCTGATCACGATGCACAAACTCATGACCGAGAGCAGTGGTGCTACATCCGCGAAGCACTCTCTGTAGACAATGTTACTGCCAAATCCCTGAGAAGAGTGCCGTCATCTCCTAACTACAAGGGCTGCGGTCCAAGGCTAATTAAAGTAATACTACACTCCGAGGGAATGACGCAAGTTCTGTTGGATAGCTGGTTAAAGTTTCGAGCTAGGCTGCCAACAGAGATCCGGCTAAAAGTAGCAGGCGAACGATCAAAATTCGGAAGCAATTCAACGGAACTTGCAAACGCAGCAAATTCCTTATCTGCACAGTCCTGCGGAGAGACCAACACAACTGCGCCCACGGCACACAGGAGGACCGAGCACAGCACCAGTGAAACTTCTGTTCAGGAACGCTCAATAATGCCATGCAACACGACTGAAATACATAAACCAAAAAAACGATTAACTGCCGGCCACCTAACGGCCGGCTTAAAAGCGAACACAAACTCGACATCTATCAATGAACTCCTAACAACAAAAGCCCTATCTTGTAGGTATACAAAAGCCCAAGACCTTCTAAGCAAGTTGGCAGAACTTAGAGAACTCCATGCCTCACAACCGCGGGACCTCGTCATGATTACAGAGACATGGTTAAACCCTGAGATAACCGATTCTGAAATCAATTTACCCGGTATGTCACTGCTTCGGACCGATAGAACCGGAAGGGGGGGCGGTGTGATTCTTTATTATAATACCAACCTCCGATGTGAAGTTATCGACCACCCGGAAATCCGAGCTCCCGATTCGCTTTGGTGCCGCCTATGGTTGCGAAACAAGGGCACATGTCTACTAGCCGTGATTTATCGCCCGCCAAACTCAACTTCGGAAATGGACTCCAAACTGAACCACGTCTTTCAGTTTGCTTTGAACAAGTCCTACACCCACATTCTTATCGCTGGAGACTTTAACGTGCATGACATAGAAACGCCGGCAACCGATGGTATGCAGTTTAAAGCCTGCTTGCAAGAGCTTATTGCTAGCCACCCTCTTTACAACCACGTAACCTCTCCCACCAGATTTCGAACTGCTAACAAGCCGTCGATACTGGATCTTGTGCTCACTAACGAAGAACTCATGGTTAGCGGGATAGTTACAAGCACACCACTGGGTCGTAGTGATCATGTTACTCTACTCTTTGATTATATTTGCTATGCGGAGTACCCTGAAAAGGAGGAGGATAAAGTGCATACTGTCACACACTACAATGTGTTGTCTAAGCTTGTTAAGGATACATCTTGGACTTCTTAACCGAATGCCCCCCAGATGTTGCCTGGGAAACATTTACAAGGACGTTTAGTACACTGGTAGCGCACGCATCAGAGGAGAAGTCCTTCCAACCTAAAAACAATCGTAATTCATTTCTGAGGAGCAGAACACGTAAATGTATGTCCCGGAGGGATTTGGCATGGCGAGATCACCAGGACTGCCCGAATGCCGAAACCTGGACTGCATACGTGACCCATTGTAACTTCTGTGTGAAATTGATCCGCGAAGACAAGGTCACTCATCAGCAGAAGTTAATGAAGCAATTCTGTACGAATCGCAAACTCCTGTACAGGCACGTTAACGGCCTTCGAAAGGTAAAGCGGGGGATTCCAGCACTAGTCACGGCTGATGGGTGCACGCGATCAGCAATGGAAGCAGCAGCTCTTTTACGGCTTCATTACTCCCGAACTTTCCAGGAGGTAACGAGCACGAACATTCTCCTCATTTCTACTGCTCCACCATCTGGTTTAGAAAACATCACCTTCACTGCGGAAGCTGTGTTGAAGAAGTTGTTATGCTTGCGTATCCACAGTTCTCCCGGAGCTGACAACATCCGACCAAAGGCTCTACAGGCAGTAGCTAGTGATCTAGCAGCACCACTGGCTATTTTCTATCAGCGATGTCTAGAGGAGAACCGTATTCCACCAGTATGGAAGCGAGGGGTCATCACTCCTATTCATAAAGGAGGTAGCCGCACTGATCCTGCCAACTACCGTCCGATAACACTACTTCCAGTACCATCCAAAGTGATGGAATCAATCATCGCAGATGCGCTGATGGAATACCTGGAAAGCCACAATTTAATAGCCCCAGAGCAACATGGCTTTCGTCAAAAGCATTCGCGTAATACTAACCTATTAATTGCACGTAATAGCTGGACTGAAGCTGTTGATGATGGAGTAGTGGTCGATGTCATCTACTTGGACTTTTCAAAAGCATTTGATCGCTTAAACCATCGCATTCTCCTTCACAAGCTTCGGAATTACGGCATGGGCGACCCAATCCTGAGTTGGATTGACAATTTTCTACACGAACGACGGCTAGTGGTGAGAGTCCGAGAAACATTGTCTGATGCAATCGATGTGGCGTGCGGAGTACCACAAGGCTCGGTTCTTGGACCTCGTCTATTCTTGGTGTTCATTAACGATTTGGCGAGATTAATTACTTCCGATTTCCTATTTTTCGCTGATGATATCAAGATATGGCGAAGGATCAGAGGACCGGAAGACCATGAACGGCTCCAGTGCGATCTTAACACAGTATCAAACTGGTCACTTCAAAACGCCCTACCGTTCAATGTAGACAAATGTCGCGTCGTACAATTACGCCAAAGCCATAACTACACCTATTCACTTGGGACCAACGGACTGCAGAATAGC